TATGTGAAAGAAGAGAAAGATCATGAGCCTGAGTAGAATTCTGGACTGTGATGATGCACATACCACTCTTAAGAGCATGAAAGGAAATATCTCTACCAACGTGGCGTAGGAGCGCTTTGCCAATACTATGGTCGGAAAGATAGGCAGTAGAAGAAGTCGGTCTTAATGTAAAGAATTTAGTCCATTGTGTGGTGTGAAACTGAGTGTGGAGAGGGAGTGCATAACGTGTCGGTCTTTTCCGAGTAGAAAGGGAAGGTAACGAAGTAACATCATTAGGAGATTGTCGTTGACGTTTAGAAGTGGGACCAGAGTCGGTCCAATGTGGGACGGGCTGGCGATTCGAAAATTGCCACACCGTAGAGGGAGAAACTGGAAGCATAGTCAAAGGAGAGCGGAGGTCAGACAAATCGAAGGAGTCAGTGGAAGCCCCTGGTACCTGAAGCGGGTGAGGAAACGGCACCAGGAAGAGGTACAGGGGCCTTAGGAACGTCCGAAGAGTGGCCGAAAGATGAGGCGAGGTCAGAACATGGTGCGGTAATAATAAGGGGCCCGGTGGTAGCGGGGTCATGGATCGGGTACTCCATGGTTAGGTTACTTCTTTCTTTTTGTTTTTAAGAAAAAAAAGAACTCGTGCCACACCCTACCCATCATGCCAGTAAACCAGCAATCCGGGATAGCAACCTCACATCTGCCGAGCTACCCCGGTGGACAAAATAGAGGGCGGCCAGATATCCTCCACAAAGCATACCTCCTTCGGCCACCACCCCCGGAATCCGAAAGGTGGCTTCCAGAGATACACCCGTCGCCCGAAAAACACCCAAAGCCACCCTCCGGGATACCGGAGAGGGATCAGGACATCCCCAGGCGATCCAGATTCCACGGCAAACTACGCCACCGCCAAGAATCTCAATGGAATGGGATGAACCCTGGTACCCTTTCCCCTACCCAGGAACTAGCACGCCTTTGGGAAAAATCCCAAAGGCCAAAAAAGGAAGGGCAAAAGGGAGGGGTGGGGAGGAGGAGGAGGAAAGGAAAAAGAGGAGGATGGGATAGGGAAGGGGGGATTGGGGGATAGTTAGGTTCGGTTTGAGGAAGGAGACCGACAGGTCTAATTCCTCAGACCAAGAGCCTCTTCACCACGCCAAGGAGCCCCCCTTGAAGAGGTTAGGATGGTGTAAATGAGGCTTCCATAGATATCATGTATTGCACTAGCTGGGGCTTCCTCTCCTCATGTAGCTGCAGAGACTATACTTCTTCAGGGAAGGCTGGCCTCTGTTAGCTGATATTACCACTGATTTTGTAGGATTGCTTTGGATTATTAACATATTTACAAGAACTGGTAGTGAGGTGACCCATGGGAGCAGCAGAGTTGAGCAAGGGGGAGCAGAAGGATAATGCAGTGTGCTTGACACCAGACTGGTAGCCTATGATCACTGACTGTTGGCAGATGTCACTAGTGTGACATCTTTGTGGGCTATTCATATGCATGTATGGGAGGCCTACATTTGCTTGGCTATGCACAACTTTGAATGACATTATGTCCAAATTTTCATGAAATTTGTGGTATCTTCCCCAAATCTGTTGATCGGCTTATTTTTATGTCATCAGTGAATTTATTCATGTTATGTAAATTATTAACAATGTGCCAAATGTGTTTGATCCCTCTTTCTGATTTTACCCCATTTATGCAAACTTTGTTTTCTATTAGTTAACTCCCTCAAGGGAAGTTCCCTGAAGCTGATGAGAGGCTTTCGATCCAAGGAATTGAACTTGTGCTCCCCTTCCTCATATCAAACTTGAATGCCTCTCATTCCTGCAGGTGCTGTATGATTCCTATGGGTTTAGTGCCCTTCCATGAATGCAATAATAATAATAATAATAATAATGATAATAGTCTTGTCTTGATTCATGATAGAGGTTTTGTGCCATGAGTAGTGGCTAGTCACCTTCCGTATATTCTCGCTCTGCATGATAACAATGACAATACAAGTTGCAACAATGAGTTGGTGAACAGCCGTCAACATACAGCACATAATATGTGGAAGAGAATGCATTATGAATAAGGCAAAACTTAAGGCATTATGTTGGACTTTCACGACCAAACTTTGTGTTCTACCCTTCCCTGACCCCCACTGACTGTCCTCTACCCTTTCACAACATTGTCCCCCATTCCCTCCTACCCTTGTTCACCATTGCCCCCTCACTCCCACCTACCCTTGTTCACCATTGCCCACTCCCTCCTACGCCTTGTTCACCATTGTCCTTCACTCCTTACTACATCTTGTTCACCATCGTCCCTCACTCCCTACTATGCCTTGTTCACTGTTGTCCTTCACTCCCTCCTACCCTTGTTCACCATTGTTCCTCACCCCCTACTACGGCTTGTTCACCATTGTCCTTCACTCCCTTCTATAGCTTGTTCACCATTGTCCTTCACTCCCTGCTACCCTTGTTCACAAATGTTCCTCACTGCCTCCTACCCTTGCACACATTTCCCTGCAGCTTTGTATGACCCTTGCGCTTTCCCTGATTATATTAATATTTTGTTGTACTCTAACAAGGCTCAATAGAAATACCAGAACTGGAAATACCAGGATTGGAAATACCAGGACTGGAAATACTTGGACTGGAAATACCAGAGTTGGAAATACCAGGAATGGAAATACCAGGATTGGAAATAGGAGGGTCAGCCATGTTCTTCTCACGGATGATCTGCTTGCTCCACTGAGATGCCAGGTCACGCTCCCAAATATGCGTTACGCTGACGCAGTGGTCTGGAGTTTTACGACTCACTCGCCATGGATTCTAACCCTATCCGTACCATATGTTGTTAAATTGTATGATCATAATGAGTTTAGCCCTTAGTTTTGATTATAATAATAATATTAAATATGTTCTTTGTTTATCAGCTCATGTTTCATGTTCTCTTTACCGAGCTTTGTACTGCATGTTGTACCACATGTTGTACCATAGCCCTTGTGGTTTAGCGCTTCTTTTTTATTATAATGTACCACTTAACACATTGAATCACATGGCGTACAATATTTTGTGCTACATCCTGTGTGACATACCACCTAGCATCACACCATACTATGCCACAAGTACCATGTACTACTTCGTACTACAACCACTTTATACCTTGTGTCGCAAGGTGCACCACACACTGTACCATGAACCAAATGTACTGTAATTAGTATTACCTGCCATATGCTACACCACACTTTTTAAACATGTACCACACGCTATACCACACCACGCATCACATACTGCACCACATAATTCTGTACCACACAACCCATTATTCCACTCCATGTGCTACATGTACCTCACATATACACTACCACTCCATATGATGTAGTGCATGTTTCACACCATGTACCACAACGTATCCCATATATACTAACACTCTACATGCTGTACTGCACCATGTACCACAATGTACCACACCATGTACCACACCTTGTACCACACGCTTCATATACCACACTGGACCACACACCACACACTCTGTACCACACTATATGCCACACCTTGTACCACACCATATACCACATCTTGTACCACACTGTACCATGTACCACACACCACACTATGTACCACACTGTCCATGTACTACACTGTATCATGTACCACACACCACACCATGTACCACACTATACCATGTATCACTGTAATATGTACCACAAACCACACAGTGTACTACACTGTACCATGTACCACACACCACTATGTATCACACTGTACCATGTATCACACCACACTGTACCATGTACCACACACCACACCATGTACCACACTATGCCATGTACCACACACCACACCATATACCACACTGTACCATGTACCACACACCACACCGTGTACCACTATACCATGTACCACACTGTACTATGTACCACACACCACACTATGTACCACACACCACACTATGTACCACACACCACACTATGTACTACACTGTACCATGTACCACACACCGCACCGTGTACCACACACTACACTATGCACCACACACCAATATGTACCAATGTACCACACACCATACTGTACCATGTACAACACACTGTACCATGTACCACACACCACACCATGTACCACACCACACTATGTACCACACACCACACTGTACCATGTACAACACACTGTACCATGTACCAGACACCATACCATGTACCACACACCACACCGTGTACCACACACCACACTAGGTACCACACTGTACCATGTACCCCACACCACACTATATACCATACACCACACTATGTACCGCACACCACACTGTACCATGTACAACACACTGTACCATGTACCACACACAACACAATGTACCACACACCACACCAAGTACCACACACCATACCATGTACCACACACTGTACCATGTACCAAACACCACACCGTGTACCACACACCACACTAGGTACCACAATGTACCACACTAGGTACCACACTGTACCATGTACCACACTGTACCATGTACCACACTATGTACCACACCACACCATGTACCACACTACCACAACAGTGGAGGTGGGGACAGTCACTCACCTTGGGAGAGATTTGATCAAGCAACAAGTAGTGATCCCAACTAAACTAACGGTAACCTCTACCCTCAGTATTTCTGCTGGTTTGGCGAACTTACCATCAACAATTTACAAGTAATACGGACATTAGGGAAAGTTACGTAACATCATTAGCAAAAAAGGGAGTAATTAATATTTTTTGGGAGGGAGGGAGGCTAGAAGTATGTTTGTGTCTGAGGTGAAAGTGGAAATGGCAACCTCCGCTATTTTAGAAATTTCTAGCCAGCCATTTCTCGCGCTAAAAGTGGCTGTTGAAACGAGTGGAGGGATTTAATTATCATGACAATGGAGGCAAGAGCGTGACAAGTGTATATGAGAATGTTTTTGAGTTTGTATAGTTCATGCAGTACGAGAGTTTGGGTGACAATGCGGCAGCAATGACATCATTATGGCAGTACGACTTGTGGGCATCGTCAGTGTTGTCTTGGAGGTGAAAGAAGGAGGAGTGACACTCGTTGCTGCTGCTCTTTCCTTCTGTACCACCTGTTATAGTCTTGGTTGATTGTGCAGCTGCGTGAGGGAGTAACGTTGCTGGTGACGGTACTAGTGAAGGTGAGTAGTCAAGCATAGCTGTGACTGCTGCAATATGGTCGTAACACCACTTCTGAAACTAAAAGCTTTCACCAGCCTTACACCTTGAGGAAGAATGGTGAAGTATTGTTGTTTGTTGGTGATGGTGAGGCCTAAGGTCTCTGCTGTGATGATGATAGTGATGGTGGGGATACTGTGATGGTGATGGTGGGAATGCTGTTAGTGGGGATGCTGTGATGGTAATACTGTGGTGGTGATTCTATGGTGATGCTGTGGTGGTGATGCAGTGATGGTGGGGATTCTGTGATGGTGAGAATGCTGTTCTTGTGATGCTGTGCTGGTGATATGATGATGCTGTGGTGGTGGGGAGGCTGTGATATTGGAATGCTGTGCTTATGCTATGATATTGAGTGCTGTGATGGTGGGGATGCTGTAATGGTAATATAGTGATGCTGTGTGTGTGTGTGATGCTATGATGATGCTGTGTTGATACGGTGATGCTGTGGTGGTGGTAAGGATAATGCTGTGATGGGGATGCTGTGATGGTGGTGCTGAGTGATGCTGTGCTGATATGGTGATGCTGTGGTGGTGGTAGGATAATGCTGTGATGGGGATGCTGTGATGGTGGTGCTGAGTGATGCTGTGCTGATATGGTGATGCTGTGGTGGTGGTAGGATAATGCTGTGATGGGATGCTGTGATGGTGGTGCTGTGTGATGCTGTGCTGATATGGTGATGCTGTGCTGAAATGGTGATGCTGTGCTGAATGGTGATGTGGTGGTGTGTGATGATGCTGTGTGATATGGTAGTAATGCTGTGAATGGTGTGGATGCTTGAATGGTGATGTGAAATGATGCGTGGTGATGTGGAATGGGGAATGCTGTGATGGTGGTGCTGTGATGGTTGCAGTGAGTGTGATGATGTGTTGATATGTAGTGGATGCGTGCTGATACGGTGATGCTGTGTGGGTCGGAGGTATGATATGTTGATATGGTAGTTATGCGGGTTTTTCGGGGGGGTTTTTTGGGGGGGGGGGTGGGGCTGTGATATGGTAGTATAATGCTGTGAATGTAGTGTTGCTGTAATTGTGATTCGGTTTTTGATGGTAATGAGTCAATTTTAATTACTTTCCAATCTCTTATGAAAATTGTTATCACCCGCCATCTTTGTTGTAATAGAAGTGTTATTGTAGATGGTGTGAAGCAGCCATGAGTGGTGACAGGCAGGCTGTGCAGTTGTTGGTGGCCTGCAGCAGTCATGAGTGGTGACAGGCAGGCTGTGCAGCTGTGAGTGGCCTGCAGCAGTCATGAGTACGTCGTGACATAGGTAGGCTGTGCAGCTGTTGGCGGCCTGCAGCAGTCATGAGTGCGTCGTGACATATAGGTAGGCTGTGCAGCTATTGGCGGCCTGCAGCAGTCATGAGTGCGTCGTGACATATAGGTAGGCTGTGCAGCTGTTGGCGGCCTGCAGCAGTCATGAGTACGTCGTGACATAGGTAGGCTGTGTAGTTGTTGGCGGCCTGCAGCAGTCATGAGTGTGTCGTGACATATAGGTAGACTGTGCGTCTGTGGGTGGCCTGCAGCAGTCATGTGTGGTGACATATAGGCAGGCTGTGCAGCTGTGGGTGTAGGCGGGCAGCGACCTCGTCTACGCCCACAGAACACACCACGGGCGGCCTACGCGACACCCACGACAACACTTCCTGGTCTGCTGTTCTTAGTCAATCTTTATATTGTCTTAACACTTCAAGGAAGGGGAAGTTGCCTTGATGCTGGTGAATGGCTCTTGATCCAAGAAAATGGAGCTGCATTCCCCTTCCTTGGATCAGACCTGATCTCCAGGTGCTATATGGTCGGGTTTATCGCTAACCCCCAGTGGAGATGTCATGTTTGAGGGCGATGTGTAAATATTAAGACTGGAATTATCTAAGCTTTAATTCTGAGAGCTCAGGAGGAATTATTGAGGTGGTCTGGACACATACAGGAGGGAAAATAGGATGGCTAAGAGAGTAAATAAATGTGTGATGGAAGAGAGTACATAAATGTGTTCCAGGGGAAGGGTTGGAGAGAGGAAGTAAAGGATGTTTGCATGTCCAATAGTCTTGAGTGAGTGGAGGCAAGTGGTTGTTTTTATGGTTTGACGTGCTGTTGGAGTGTGAGCAAGATACCATTTATGAAGGGATTCAGGGAAACCGGTTAACCAGACTTGAGTGCTCTTGGGAAATACAATGCCTGCACTCCGAAGGATGGGTGAGGATTTTGCAGTTCGGAGAATTGTCTGGTAAACAGCTATTTAATGAATGATGGTGACTGTCTCGTAGCGGATAGGGAAACATGGCAACAGTTCAGTGTTACATAACATCAGTGCACTGTTTTTTAACCTTATTACAAAAAAAAAATGCACTTGGGAAACAAAGTTATGACGACTTTTCGGTCCTACTTGAACCAGTGTTAACATATGACTTGTTAATGGTTCAAGTCCGACCGAAACGGCATTAGAAGTTTCAGCCTGCTAGGTGCAGGGCTTTTGTGTATTCTGGCCAAGGTATTGAGTTTATTTTTTGTAACCTTGTGAATTACATTGACATGTGTAAGTAATCTGTCAACACAACACAGAGAACAGTAGTTACAATGTACTAGACTGTGACAGTTATGTGTGTGTATGCACACAGACAAAAGAGGGACAAAAGAGAGTGCATAAATTATAGGGGAATAAGTCTGTTGAGTATACCTGGTAAAGTGTATGATAGTTATTATTGCAAGAATAAAGAGTAAGACGGAGAGTAGGGTAGCAGATGAACAAGGAAGCTTTAGGAAAGGTAGGGGTTGTGTAGACTAAGTGTTTACTGTGAAACATATAGGTGAACAGTATTTAGATAAGGGTAAAGAGGTTTTTGTGGCATTACAGAAGACAAAGGACCCAAGAAAATAAAGATATTAGTCGAAGAGCCAGAAACGAGTATGCGCAGATAAGGAAGGAGGCCCAGCGACAGTACAAAAACGACATAGCATCGAAAGTCACGTCTGACCCGAGGCTGTTATATAGCCGCATCAGGAGGAAGACAACAGTTAAGGACCAGGTCATTAGGCTGAGGAAGGAAAGTGGGGAGCTCACAAGAAACGACCAAAAAGTATGTGAGGACTTCAACATGAGATTTATGGAAGTATTTACAATGGAGACAGAAAGGACTCTGAGAAGTCAGAATAGGGAGATACACCAACAAGGGATATACCAACAAGTGCTGAATGAAGTACAATCGAGGAGGAGGTGAAGTAGGTGCTAAGTGAACTTGATACCTCAAAGGCGGGGGGACCAGACATCTCTCCGTGGGTCCTTAGGGAAGGAGCAGAGATGCTGTGTGTGCCACTAAACGATTTTCAACACATCCATTGAAACTGGGCAACTACCTGAGGTATGGAAGACGGCAAATGTAGTCCCCATTTCTAAGAGAGGAGACAGACACGAGGCACTACACTACAGACCAGTGTCAATGACGTGTATAGTATGCGAAGTCATGGAGAAGATTATCAGGAGGAGAGTGGTGGAGCACCTAGCTTGGAACAAGCTTATAAACAACAACCAGCACGGATTCAGGGAAGGAAAATCCTGTGTTACAAACCTACTGGAGTTTTATGAAAAGGTAACGGAAGTACGACACGAGAGGGGTGGGTAGATTGCATTTTCTTGGATTGCAAGAAGGCCTTCGACACAGTTCCTCACAAGAGATTAGTGCAAAAGCTAGAGGATCAGGCACGCGTAACAGGAAGGGCACTGCAATGTATCAGAGAATACCTTACAGGGAGGCAACAACTAATCATGGTGCGAGCGGCCCATGACCTTTCGCATGCTATTACATTACTTTTTAACAAGTCACTAGAAACTAGCACTTTCCCGACACTACTCAAGACAGCAAGGGTTACACCAATACATAAAGGTGGTGACCCTACAGATGTAAACAACTATAGGCCAATAACAAACTTACAATTGCTATCCAAAATCTTCGAGAAACTCGTACACAGGAGACTATATTCATTTATAATGGCACAAAACATACTCAACCCCTGCCAATTTGGATTCAGGAAAAATAAAAGCACTAATGATGCAATTGTAAAAATGCTAGACCTGCTTTACACAGCATTGGAAAATATGGAATATCCGCTAGGAATTTTTATTGACCTAGGAAAAGCTTTTGACACAGTAGACCACGGCATCCTACTCCACAAACTTGACCATTATGGTATAAGAGGCCATGTGCTTGCATATTTCAAATCCTACACTACTAATAGGTATCAGTATGTCACCATTAAAGACACAGCCTCATCAACACGGCCACTTGATACTGGAGTTCCGCAGGGAAGTGTCCTTGGTCCCCTGCTCTTCCTCATTTACATCAGTGATCTTCCAAACGTATCCCAACACCTGAAACCCACTCTCTTTGCTGACGACACGACTTATGTCATCTCCCACCCTATTCTGGCCACCCTCAACATCATTATTAACGAGGAGCTGCTCAAAATATCGACTTGGATGACAGCCAATAAACTTACACTTAACACTGACAAAGCCTACTATATTATGTTTGGTAGCAGAGCAGGTGTTGCGCAACTTAACATTAAGATCGACAACACTGATTGCCAGACATAATGAGGGCAAATTCCTAGGCCTATACCTCAACAACAACCTGAATTTCAGCACCCATATCCAACACATAACAAAAAAAGTATCCAAAACAGTTGGGACCCTCTCCAAGATACGATACTACGTGCCGCAAACTGCCATTCTCACACTATACCATTCACTCATTTATCCATACCTCACCTATGCTATTTGTGCTTGGGGATCAATTGCAGCAACACACCTAAAGTCAATAATAACCCAACAAAAATCTGCAGTAAGAATAATCACTAAATCCCATCCCTGGCAACACCCCCATCCCCCACTATTCATAGATCTAAACTTACTCCCTGTTCAGAACATCCACACTTACTACTGTGCAATCTACATCTACAGGACCTTAAATTC